GCGTGAACTTTACTACCCATGACGGATCCATGGTGCTGGTTTTTCTATGCTAACATGACTGGGGTATATTGCGGTATATTGATGGGACCCATGTTACCAAAAAAAAAGCAGCACCATGGATCCGTCATGGGCTATAAAAAATGGGCTTTTGACCATATGTTTTGACCATATTAGAGCCTACTGTTCCATCCTTTGGGCTGTAAAACCCAAGTCAGTTTCAAGTTTCAAAACCATACAACTTGTTGTTTGGACAACTCAAATTGTTTATCATAAATGTCTTGTTGTGAACATGTCCTCCCATTCTCTTGTACTGGAAACATATTCTATAATTTGGCTTTCCATATAATACTCACATCTCATTTCTCCAAGATACTGTCCCCATGTGCTTTTCCCATTAAACTCTCATGGCTTTCCATCCTTTCTCCAACATTTACGCCACATTTTTCAACCTTTTCCCCAGCTTTCTCCCACGTTTTTCTCAGTGAAATCGGCCCCGTCCTTCAACAACTCCAGGGCCCAACGCCACTCCATGGACTTCTCGCAAGCACTGATGGCCGAGTTGAAACTCAACACATCCTCGGCGTTTTTGGCGTGCGGCGATGATTTTTTTTGGGGGGGATGTTCATGGATATAGAGGGATTTTGATGGATAATACATTTTGAAGATATGGATACGATTTGTCTAAATGTTGGGATTAATCATTTGATGTTCCATTCATATTCATGTTACTATAATGGATATAAATGGCGTATGATGGGATATTGAACCCTGAAACCAACTTTGCAAAAAGAAATCTGCGGAAATCTAGAGGTGAAACGAGACAGCAAACATCCACCCAATCTTGTCATTGGGACATCAAGATACTCTACCAGAAATAGTGAACCGATGGATATTCCCTTTTCAACCAATTTCCCGGAGCTCCCTGCCGTGATGACACCTACCTCGACCGAGAGTCAGCCATGCCCGAAGCCAACAAGGTCTCCAGCAGAAGCAAAGCCATTCGCCAGAGCCCGGCTTTTTCACATGCGCTGATGGCGCTGTTGTAGGCCACCTATGGACAGCAGGAGATGCTCAGTTTCCGATCCCATCGATGATTCTCCAGATATTTGGGAAGAAAACAAGCACTGCAATGCGCCTTGGAAGCCTTGCAAGCTGGAAAAGTCGACGACAAACAACTAGACCAGCAGCAAGAGCTGCTTGCAACTGAAACTAAGTTTCCCTAGCCAGGAAGTTCCTTGTGGAAATATGAGGAGTCGGGGCCAAAAGTTAAAGACCTGAGGCCATTTGGCAACTTTAAGAGGTACATTGTTTTGTTGTCCCAACTCTTTCAACTCCTCACCGTGTGTTTATGTTCTGTGATATCTATCTTTGCCCCAAACTTATGTAATTACACATACCATATATCATCTTGGATTTGCTTAAGGAAACCATAACAAACAACACATATTCCCAACAAATCTGCTACATTTCTGGTGGATGTTACGTTCACATATCAAATGGGAAAATCAACGAACAAAAACAAATAAAAAACAACATTCATGTTCAACAAATACAAGTTATTACATGATTTTATATGATTGTTATCAAGTTATCCCCAAAATATTTCACCACATCCCTGACAGTGCACCTGACAGCTACAGTTGGCATCTTCCATGAGCTCTAAGAGTTTCAGGCTATGCGGCCACTCGGCCGCCTGCGAGGCGATACCAACCGGTGGAAATGTCACATCGCGACCCCATTGATAGAGGATTTGTGATGGAATTTATGGAGGAATTGTCACAAGAATGATTCAAACATGGTTCTAGTAGAGGGTTTATGATGGTTTATGTCATATGGAAAAGTATAAAACATGTTCCAAAGCACCAACCAGCTATTTGTTCCAATCGTGAATATGTTCTTGGCCCGACCGGGCGTAAATCTTCGACTTTCAGGCACCCTCAAATATCTTTATTTTTCAAATCACCATCATTGACCATCATATCTCTGTTGTGCCACTTGTGCTGGTAAAATGCTTGGGGGTGCAGTTCCAAATATAAGTGAATATATATATAAGCATAGTTATAGGGGTCATATCCCATTACAGTATTTGGTTTATACCCTCTGGTAATTTAAAATAGGCATGGAAAATGGCCCATTTATAGATGGTTTACGTATTGTAAATGCTGATTTTCCATGGCTATGTTAAATAACCAGATGGTAACCATAGCTAGGCTATATCGATAAAGGTGACCCCAACTGCACCCCCAAGTACTCCATGTCATGCGTCACCTCAGTACAAGCGCTGACGGCAGCTGCAAAGGTCACTTCTGAGGGAAGTTCCGATGGTAAATCCTGGTGCAACGGGGCTTTACCAGCGAATGGCGCTCGACGGATTGGAGTTGCCTGAACAAAGGATGCCACAACACCCAAGTGTTCAAAAAGAGAGAGAGAGAGATAGATATAATCATATACACACATAATATAATAGGAACCCTCAAGAAGAAAATTTGTCATCAATAGTTTAGCAGGATTTTTCTTGTCTATCTTTTTTGGGGTTACTCTATATAAGACGTCCCCAAGGATAAAATAAAGATGCATTTGAACAATAGATAGCTGGATTGATAGATGGAAAGATAGACACATAGACAGATAGACAGACAGACAGACAACAGATAGATAAATAGATAGATCGATACATACTTAGATGGATGCTAGAGTATGGTAAATGACAAACATCATGGTGGCTGACTTACTTCATGTTTGGTGTCGCAAAGCAAACATCACAAACAGATACAAACACGAATCAATGATTATTTACCTAGACCCTCCAAGTAGCCATAAAAATGATGTTTTAAGCCCATATGTTTTATACTTTCCCATTTTTTGAAGGGTATTTGGCTGGTCTAGGTATCGGAAATATGGGAAACAAAAACATCTATAAATGGAAAATCACCTCTATAATTTAGTGCTTTTAATGGAAAAATCATCGAAGTAAATGGTGGATTTTCCGACAAACCGTGTTTGAACAATCCAACAATCAACACTACTAATACTAATGGACATTAACATATATGTATATACATTACCCATTAACATACATTACCCATGATCTAAATTTATCTAATAGATTATTAATTCATATTAACCATATCTACGGGAAGAATCTCCATCTTCCCAGGCTCCTGTAGCAGTTGCAAGGCGATCTGCCATCGTCTCCCCTTGCCGCACGCGGTGATGGCTGCGTTGTAGGTGACCACATTGGCCACTCGCCGCGCCCTGTGGAGCAAATGTAGTGCCACAGGCCACAAGGAGCTGGTCCTCAGAGCCCAGGAGGTTGTCCCCTGGTGGATGTCCGCAAACACAGCCAACCCCCAAATAGAAATGACTTGTTACAGTTTGCCATTGGAAAGTGATAAAAAATGATATTTTATGGTGCGTAAAAAAGGTATTGAACCAAGAACAATGGGGGATTTTTTTTATGGGAAATACCTCTGGTTATGTCAACAGTTTGCGAACTTGAAAATGGTCCATAGAAATAGTGGATTTACCCATTGATAGCATGGTGATGTTCCATATAAATCACCATTTTCCCATGGTTTTCCCATGGTTTTCCCATTAACAATGGTGATTTTCCATCGTTTTTTGTAAATGTTTACCAGGCCGGGTAAAAGTAGAGGATTCATCCAGAGTTCCCAACGGCAGTGATGGCTGAACTGAAGGATACCACTGTGGGCCGTAGCTGTTGCAGTTCCATGTCTTCCAGTAGAACCAAGGCCTGGTCACGAAGTCACAGTTATGGCCATTTATTAGTTATAACTGATTATAAATGGGATTATACATTCTATAAATGGGGTTATAAGTACTTATAACTGGTAAAGGGCCATAACTGCAGGTTTGACCGGAGCAACATGTAGCCAACAAAGAATGCATCCATCAAATGAGCAAGATTCAATGTACCCTCCGGAAATTAAAGGTGGCAATTACCCTCTGGTAAATTAACATAGACCCTGGCAGATAGGGGTTGGAAGACTAGTTTCCATTAAAAATTGGTGATTTTCAGGGTCTATGTTAATTTACTGGAGTAAAAAACACATTTAAATAGAGATTTTGATGGAAACAATCGGGTTAAGTTCCCATGAATTTCGGAGATTTTGATGGTCACCCATCCATTTTCTAATTCTTTTGCCATGTTTTTCCCTTCACCACGCCTGCTGCCACTGCTCAGACTCCGCGCAAATACTGATGGCGCCATTGACGACGATGACGTTCAGCTCCAAGCGTTGGAACTTGAGCTCCTGACGGCTCCAAGGGGGGAATCAGATTGCTCACATGTTTTTTGATACGTTTTTTGATGGATGCTCTTGAATCAGATTTATACATGTGTATTTATATGATTTTATATATATATATATATTACATATATATATTATATATTATATATATATTATTATATATTATATTACATACACAGAAAAACAATGTATACAGCATATACATGTATATACAATGATAGTACGTATGTATAATATGATCTATATCATGTAAGCTAGACTCTAGATTTACCAAACAAAACTGCGTTGGAAAAGGCAAATTGGCATTGATGGTATGTCGACAATGCTGACAAACATACATCTTCAGGACAATGGCAGCACAACATCCTCCTGCCAATTAGTTGCCCAACAAACTCCCAAGGGTTTCCAGAATCCTCCGGTAATTGCCATGAAAAATCCACCATTTGTAGATTTTCCTATGACAATTCCCATTTAACTATGGGGATTTTCCTATTGCCATGTTTGATTGCTAGAGGGTATGGCCCCTTCATGAATGGACATTCCCACATCACCAAAGACTAAGACAAAGGCTTTTACCAAAGCTTTGACCATTGATGACTTTGTCAAAGCTGCTCCCAAAGACTAGCCATATGGCCGTTTTCCACTGACCAGACTTCCCGATTTCGACGGCTTTTCGCTACGAAACCACCTTTGGAAAATCCAAACTCGAACAGAAACTCCACAAAGTGTGTCTGATCTTGTTGATGCACCAAGTTGATTTGTTTTTAGTCAAAAGCCATTTTGGAGCTTTCCCCCTAACGTCATGGGGGTCCAAAAAAAACGTCGTCACCATAGGTTAACCTCTGCCAGGTGAAGGCGGAAAAAACATCGGTCCTTATCGGATGCTAACTGCCCATTGTAATATTTGTAATGGCAATTTAACGTTCTCATGACATGTCACTATACTACCATTCGCATGTTAATGATATTTGATTATAGCATGATTGTTGATGAAATCACGGTATAATCAAATATCATCAGACATTCGAAAAAAACATCTTAGTTGATGAAAGGACCGTTTCTGTGAACTCACCTCTTTCTGTTGCTGAATTCCCCCGTTCCCTCCTCGAGTAGCTGCAAGGCCACGATCCACTGTGCTCTACAGGCCTTGATCGCTGCGCCGTAGGTCACGATGCTTCGTTGCTGCCAGGGAATCTCCTGCAGCAAGTCGCGGAGATACCCAGCGTGGCGGCGTCAAACATGGGGTGATGAAGGATATATTTCATGGGTATCTAATGGGAATATGATAGCTTAAACCATGATAAACCATGATTAATGTGTATATTCATGGTTTATGATGGTTTATGGTTCATGGTGTTTCCCAACAATAATTTACAGTAGGACATATATTTAGGGGATCTATCGGGAATATCAGGGATAACTGCAACCAACGATATGTTTTAAAGGTTTCTGGTTCTCCATCCCATATTGGGGATCCAACTGGTTCCCCCACCGTGTGTTTTTTGGCAAAAAGAAGCCCTTCCTCCGTTCACCACTGGATAGTGAAGTTGCGTATAATCAACAACTGAACAGCTTCAAGTCTAGGATGTCTACAATTTACACAAAGTCCTGTGGTTGTCGTTGTTGCTACGATTCACATCTTCAGTGATATGTTCAATCCGCATTAATGTCATCTATTTGCAATCCCATTTGAGCTCATTCACATTTCACAACGATCACATCACCATGACATACCATGACTACATAATTTGTATATATGCCCTCTGCCGTGGCTATATTACCATTCCTGTTGTAATTCCATGTTTGAAAGGTATACATCTCCATTTTGTCATGCTTATAGATCATTGAACAAATCTACATGTCCCATGGCAAAATCCCATGCTTTGTTTGGCAGTTTCAGTTTCCACGTCACAGCCTGCGCCCTGTCCTTCATTAGCATCAGGCCGCGTTGCCACTGCGAGGCCAGCTCGCAGGCGGTCATGGCCACGTTGTAGGTCTTCACATCGACATCGCTGCCTTCCCTGACCATTCAGGAATCTCACCGTAGCCATGACCGTGACCAGATACCCAAGATACCTCCAAGATACCCAGCAAAAAAAGGACAAGTACTTTCAATGACATGAGGTAAAATTAACGACTTTTGCGGGTACCCTCTGGTAAACTAACATAGCTATGGAAAATCACCATTTTTAATGGGAAAATCCACTATTTCTATGGTCATTTTCAATAGCTATTTTGACATAACCACAGGGTAACGGAAGGTCCAGCTCCATCGGTTAAAGGCCAAAGTGCTCCCTGGTGGCTGTGAGAAAGTTGAGGGCCGATTCCCAATCTCTGGACTTGCCACAGGCACTCAGCAGAATGCCTCAGCCGTCGCATTCGGGAATGGCGACCGGTGATGTTGTGAACAAGATAGGAACCTCCAAAAGGAAAAGGAAAGAACATAATAATCTGGTTATGACTATTTTGGAGCTTTACACTTTTCGCTATTTTTTTTTGGGGGGGGGTTGCGATCGATTGGAACACTGAATTCTTTGGGGAAAGGACTGGTCATTTCAGCATGGTTTATCCTTTTGTTCAACAAAAACTGAAACAGTAACTGGGGAAATGGTTCATCTCCCCAAACATATGGGGTAGTACGTTCTGTACGTTCTGTAAATCCATAGCAATATGTTTTTTCATACATCCCAATACACGATCCGGTTCAAAGTGGAAATCCTGACCACCAGCTTGTGGCGGTCAAGGCAGGCCCCAAACACAGAGAATATGTCGCTGATCCGCAGATATCTGCAGTCATGTCTGACATGTCTTGCAGCTGGCACTTTTTTCAATGGCTCAACCTCCAAAAAGATCAGGTGCCATAGGTGATTTGACTTGGTCGCAGATGTTTCAGGTGAATCTTCTGCAAGAAGGCCAAGGTCACCTGGATCAAAGTGGCCGCGCCCATGGATACTGGTTCCACCTGGTTCCACAACCCTTCTGCAATGTGACGAGTTGGGTCAATTTTCAACAAACATGACAGATTCAAAACTAAAAACGGATGTGCCCCTCATTGTCCAAAGCTGGACGCAGTGGTTGACCATCTCTGCAAACCATCTGCATTCAGACCATGCTTTCTTAATGGAACATCTACAGGCTTTCCGTTGGTAAAAACCCATATTAAACCAGGTCGTTCAGCGCCAAATATCACTAACATATACAGTAAACCATGGTTTTTCCTATGTTTTACCATTAAGCCACGTGCAGTATTAACAAAAAAAATCACAGTAAACCGTGTTTTCTACCACTAAACATCACCAACATATACAGTAAACCATGATCGTTCCCATGTCTTACGATTAAAACATCTACATATTTTAAACATCATAGCGTTTGCCATTTACTAATAATTTTAACCATGATTTTTAGCACTAAACATCACTAAAACATACAGTAAACCATTTTTCTCATTTTTTCCACTCAAACATGTACAGTACAGTATTTCCCAGTTTGTTAAAATCAAATCAGGTCTTTTAGCACTACCATATACAGTTGAAAATGTTTATTTCCTATGTTTTACCAACCATGTACAGTATGTCCCTGTTTGTTGCCATTAAACCAGGTCTTTTAACACTAAATATCACTAACATATACAGTGAACCATGGTCTTTCCGATGTTTTACCAACCATGTACAGTATTTCCCTGTTTGTTGCCATTAAACCAGGTCTTTTAACACTAAATGTCACTAACATATACAGTAAACCATGATTTTTTCTCCATGTTTTACCATTAAAACATGTACATTACTTTAAACATCATAGTGTTCACCAATAACTAATAATCCAGGTTTTTTAACACCTAAATATCACCAACATGCAGTAAACCATGGTCTTTCCGCATGTCTGTGTTGGTTCCTTCCTCCCAAACACTACAAGCGATGCATTCCAACTTCGGCGCCTGCCACTGGGATGCCCTTTCGCAGGCCGTCATGGCAGCATTGTATGCAACCTGCTCGGTGGAGTGGAGAAACTCCTGAATGATATGTATGTAAGATCTATATACGTAATACACATTATATATTATTATATAATGTATATAATTAATATCTATAATCATATAATTATATATTTGTTTGATCTCTCGGTCTTTCGACATCTATAAGATGCTGTTTCATCTTTCTCCGGTTCATATTAAACACCAAGAAACCATGTTTTTTGTTGCGGATGAAATCACATATTTGGGACCGTAGAATCGGGGTCTTTACAGGATTAGGGGGATGGGATTATCTCTATACATCTACAACATTGGGGGTATATTGATGGTAAATGTTACCATATATAGCATACATGGATCCTATGGGAGATATATATATATATATATATATATATTCATGTACCTAGACCCTCCAAATACACCAACAAAACCGGGGTTTGACCTCACCGTTCTAGGACTTTTTCCATTTGCTTTTTGTATTTGGAGGCTCTAGGTTTATGTATGTACATAGAGTCCTGGAACTGAGTGGTTGATTCTACGGTATCACTATATATATATATTATATACTTATTTATCTATTTGTTTAATTATACTTATATCCGCCGACCCCGGCCGACGCAAGGGGGAGCGCGTAAGGGAAGAAGATGGAAATTAGGTGGTGTTTTGCTGTTTCGGAAGCGTTTCGAAACAGTAGGCCCAGCCATAATATTGTTTAGGCGATTCTGGGGGATTCGGCCGAAACAGCTGGCCCAGCTACCGGAGATTCTGGGGGATTCGGCTGAAACAGTTGGCACAGCTAGGATTCTCGAAGTAGGATCTAAACTAGGATCTAGATCTAGATCTAGGATTCTCTAGGATTTCAGAAGGGACGTTAGGCAGGTTTCTGTAATATTGTTTAGGCGATTCTAGGGATTCGGCCGAAACAGCTGGCCTAGCTACCGGAGATTCTGAGGGATTCGGCTGAAACGGCTGGCCCAGCTAGGATTCTCGAACTAGGATCTAAACTAGGATCTGGATCTAGATCTAGGATCTGGATCTAGATCTAGGATTCTCTAGGATTTCAGAAGGGGCGTTAGGTAGTTTTCTGCCGCGATTTTTCGTTATTTTCGGCACGAAATTAGGTGGTGTTTTGCTGTTTCGGAACCGCTTCGAAACAGCAGGCCTAGCTGTAATATTGTTTAGGAGATTCTGGGGGATTCGGCCGAAGCAGCTGGCCTAGCAAGGATTCCCGAAGCCGCGATTTTTCGTTATTTTCGGCACGAAATTAGGTGGTGTTTTGCTGTTTCGGAACCGCTTCGAAACAGCAGGCCTAGCTGTAATATTGTTTAGGAGATTCTGGGGGATTCGGCCGAAGCAGCTGGCCTAGCAAGGATTCCCGAACTAGGATCTAGATCTAGATCTAGGATAGATCTAGAGATCTAGATCTAGGATTCTCTAGGATTTCAGAAGAGACGTTAGCCACTTTTTTGGCGTGGTTTTGGAACTAGTTCGTCCTTCAGAGCCATGGTGTTTTCCTGCCGGGAGCTGCTTTTATGCTTTTTTCGAAGTTGTTTTCGGAAAAAGGTTGTTTTTCTAGGATTTCAGAAGGGACGTTAGGCACTTTTTTGGCGTGGTTTTGGAACTAGTTCGTCCTTCAGAGCCATGGTGTTTTCCTGCCGGGAGCTGCTTTTATGTTTTTTTCGAAGTTGTTTTCCTGCGAGCGGGCGCAGGCAACAGAAATTCTCGAAAAAGGCTGTTTTTCTTGGATTTCAGACGGGACGTTAGGCACTTTTTTGGCGTGGTTTTGGAACTAGCTCGTCCTTCAGAGCCATGGTGTTTTCCTGCCGGGAGCTGCTTTTTTCGCAGTTGTTTTCCTGCGAGCGGCCGCAGGCAACAGAAATTCTCGAAAAAGGTTGTTTTATGTTGTTTTATGTTGTTTTTCTATGTTGTTTTATGTTGTTTTTCTACGATTTCAGAAGAGACGTTAGGCACTTTTTTGGCGTGGTTTTGGAACTAGTTCGTCCTTCAGAGCCATGGTGTTTTCCTGCCGGGAGCTGCTTTTATGTTTTTTTCGAAGTTGTTTTCCTGCGAGCGGGCGCAGGCAACAGAAATTCTCGAAAAAGGTTGTTTTTCTAGGATTTCAGACGGGACGTTAGGCACTTTTTTGGCGTGGTTTTGGAACTAGTTCGTCCTTCAGAGCCATGGGGTTTTCCTGCCGGGAGCTGCTTTTTTCGAAGTTGTTTTCCTGCGAGCGGCCGCAGGCAACAGAAATTCTCGAAAAAGGTTGTTTTTCTAGGATTTCAGACGGGACGTTAGGCACTTTTTTGGCGTGGTTTTGGAACTAGTTCGTCCTTCAGAGCCATGGTGTTTTCCTGCCGGGAGCTGCTTTTTTCGCAGTTGTTTTCCTGCGAGCGGCCGCAGGCAACAGAAATTCTCGAAAAAGGTTGTTTTTCTAGGATTTCAGACGGGACGTTAGGTACTTTTTTGGCGTGGTTTTGGAACTAGTTCGTCCTTCAGAGCCATGGTGTTTTCCTGCCGGGAGCTGCTTTTTTCGCAGTTGTTTTCGTGCGAGCGGCCGCAGGCAACAGAAATTCTCGAAAAAGGTTGTTTTTCTAGGATTTCAGACGGGACGTTAGGCACTTTTTTGGCGTGGTTTTGGAACTAGCTCGTCCTTCAGAGCCATGGTGTTTTCCTGCCGGGAGCTGCTTTTTTCGAAGTTGTTTTCCTGCGAAAAAGGTTGTTCGTATGGTCCCTTCAGAGCCATGTGTTTTTTCCTGCCGGGGGCTGGCTTTTATTCTGTTTTCGAACTTGTTTTCGGAAAAGTTTTGTTTTTCTCAGATTGCAATAGGGACGTTAGGCACTTTTTGCGTGTTTTGAACTATTCGGCCTTTAGAGCCATTAGTGTTTTCCTGCCGGGAGCTGCCTTTTTATTTTTTTTCGAAGTTGTGTTCCTGCGAACGGTTCGCAGGCAACAGAAATCTCGAAAAATGTTGTTTTTCTAGGATCTTCAGAACGGAGCGTTAGGCCACGTGCTTGGCGTGGTTTTGAACTATTTTCGTCCTTCATGAGCCATGGGT